CTGAGTGGTAGGCAGAGACCTGGGTGTTGGTCAGCACTCGTTGGCTATGTCAACATTGACCTTGGGCTGGGCAGAGCAGAGCCGCAGTTGCCTGAATGACATGCACCTTCTGTCTGCTGTCAAGTGTTTGTCCTTCCATGCTGGCTCGTTGGCCTCTTCTCCAGTAACCCACGGAAGGCTTGTTGGACTTGGGCTGAATTTGTCAAACAGGGAGGGTCAGAGCCAGAGATATGCGTCAAGTTCTGTCTGTGCTCCGTCTTGCTATCGGTGACCTCATACCTGTGTCCACGTGGGCAGGCCAGTTCAGTTGGTGGCCATGAGAATGTGCTGGCTACTTCCAACCTGTCACCTTGTTCAGCCTCCGTGACATCTCGTCTGTCTGGTGGTCACGAGAACATAGGAAAGCAGAGGCTTCGGGGCGTTCCAGCTGGCCTGCGCTCTCAGAGGTGGAACCAGCTTAACTCGAACCCAGGTCCCACCAGGCTGGAAGACCTTGGTGGCCCTACTCTGCCTGACCCTGGACCAGTGCCGCACAGGGCCAAGGGAGGGATTCAGCCGCCCTTCCGAGCTGAAAACCCCCCATGGCCAGCGGCATTTGCAAGGGACGAGGAGCTGAGTGACTCGTGTTGTGCGTCTTGGCGAAGTGCCTCTGGGCCGCGCCCACGCCCCACTTCACTGTCCTCGTCCCTTTGTCCGGCCCTCCTCGCCACCCCCGGGGAGCCCCAGGGGCACAGAGCTGAGGACCGGCCCTGCCAGACACCTATTGTTTCCCACTTCTCCCCGCCGCAGAGCCTTGAGAGGCCCTGCTATAGAAGACCCTGCCACGTCTATTGTCCCCGCAGACTTTCCCACCGCCCCGGGACCGCGGGCTCCGGTGCCCATTGTGGCGCTGCTGGCTCAGCCTCAAGGACAGAGACCTGGAGCCAGCTGACAAGGTTGCTCATGTCACTACTTCTAAGGCCACAAGCCATGCTTTTGGTTCCCAATACTTTTGAACGCCCCCCTTCAGTTGGGCCACGTGGTCTCCCAGGCTCCCGGCAGCAGAGTCCCCGACAGACAGGCTTGGCTGATGGCCAACGCCTGTCTCGGGCCTGGGTGACCTGTTTCCAAGTCAACATGGCCTTTCTGAGTGCCGCCGCGCTGCCCCCTGGTGGAGAGGGTGGAGACGGAGGGGCCGCCGCCGGGCCTTGCTAAGGAGCCCCCACAAAGACCCCCTCCCTCCCAGGTTGCTATACCCAAGGGCTTAGAAATTCCCTGGTGGAAGCCACCGCTCAGTGCGGGTGCAGAGGCATCTCATGTGCAGTCGCTTCCTGCCTGCCGCTGCCGGAGGCTCGGACCTCGTACTTGGACAAAACCAGTTGGCCTCACGCTGGTGTTTTGTGTGTGTTTGTTTTGTCTTTCCTCCTTCCACGCCAGGTGGAGGCTTTGAGAGGCCGCCTTGGCGATCTTCAGGGCTCTGGGTCAAGGTTAGGGAAGATTTCAGTGTCTGCAGGCTTGCCCTTGGGTCAGGAGCTTTCTGGGGTGTTAGGAAGGGGCCCCCCTTCTGTTTCTGCTCGGTTCTCACGTGTCTCAGAGCCCCGGCCCGGGTTGCAGGAGGCGGCCATGTGTTCCTGTGTGTCGGAGGCTGTGCTGTCAGTCTGGAGGGCAGCGAGGACACAGCATCGCCCAGTCTAGAGGACGGTGGGGCAGGTGGTGGCAGAGACTGCAGGCAGCCTCGGAGTTCGTGGGGGGAGTGGTCGGGTGTGTCAGCTCTCACGAGAGAACAAAGGCTCAGCAACGCCACGTTCTTGGCCGTGACTTTGACAGACAGGGTAGAGGGGCCAGAACTGCGAGTTGGGCTGACGAATCCTGTGTGGGTGGGCACGCCAACCCGAGCCTGAGGTCATTGCCGCAGGTGGGACCCCGCCTCCTTGACCTTGTCAGGGCTGGTCCCCAAGTGCACGGCCAGCACGGCTGGGGAGCTGGCCTCTGACCTTGTCCCACTGTTTATGCCCTTGGTCCTTGACGACCTGCCCCGGTCCTCCTCTCTCCAGGCTCCTCCAGCTAATCTGGCTTCTCCTGGGCTCTGGCACTGTAACTCATGGTCTTCAGTTTACGCACTAATTTCTCTCCCAGATGCCGCATTCAGCTTTGGTTACTTCTACCTCCCTCTCCGACCCCCCCCCAGCACCGCACCACCACTGCACCGGGCACCATTCTCCTGAGGGTTCATCATGCCGGGCGCTGCGTTCCGTGGTCTTAATCCATCAGTCCAACCACTTCTTACCGGGCCTTACGGGAAGTCTGTCACTGTTCCGTGTGTTGATGGTGAATGCATGCCACCGTCTCCTGACCATGGTCACAGAGCCGCGGGGTGGAGAGGGGACTTGGCTTTCAGATCGCTCCATCACACCGTGCTGCCCCCTCTCCTTCTCTTTCCCTGACTCCGTGTCTCCCTGGCTCTCAAGTGTCCCCGGGTCTTCCTGGGTCCAGCCCTGCCGTCCTGCATGTCTGCATGACCTGGAAACAGAGCTGCCTTATTTCTTGACATTTTTGGATGGGAGACCCCTGTGTGATGGTGTTGGGGGACAGAGTGTGTCCCAGACACAGGACAGGCCTCTCTCAGGGGTCCTTTTGGGTCCTTGGGGGTGTGGCAGCTGGGAGGCCTGAGGGATCGGCTTAGTTCCTACCTGTCACCCCCCCGTGGCTGGAGAGCCTTGGGACCTCCTGCAGACCCAGGGCCAGTCCAGAAACCCTCACGTGAGCCGAGGCGGCCGCCTCAGCTGCTGGGTCTTTCCATTTCTCCCGAGAACACAGCGCCAGGCAGGGCAGGAGAGAAGGGGAAGGACGACCCTGTGCGCCGGCCCTCCGAGCCTGGAGTCCTGCGAAGGGCGGAGCTGAAGCAGGGCGGGATTCTCCCCAAGGTCACACACTCGTCCCACCTGCTCTCAGCCTGTGGGAGGTTCACCTCACCTGTTTTCATTGCTACCTGGACTTTTTTTTCTTTAAAAAAATTTAATCGTTATTGTATTTTTTCCCATTACCATCTAGTCCCCTTATCCCTCCCCACCCCCAGCAGTCACCACCCTGTCGTCTGTGTCTGTGAGTCCTTTTTCCTTTTTGCTCCATCCCCTCAACGAATACTTTGGGCCTTAGAGGAAGGGACTCGAGGGAGGCGTGTTGTCGGCAGCTGGGGGCCCCTCGGGACCCGGACAGCTGTGCGCACACGGGCACCCAGGCCTGGTCTTCATCCCAAGGGGTGCGGACGGGGGGAGTGGGGGAAACAGGGCCGCCCTCCATCCCGGTGGTCCTCATCCCCACCGGCCACGATGGGCTGGGGTTTGAACCCACAGCACCGCCACCTCCTCCGGCCACTCCCGAGCCCACGCTGACCCTCCCCCCCCAGCTGGGGGAGATTTCTGGAGTGAGGGCCGCGTGCAGCAGGAGGAAAAAGAAGAGCCGACTCTCAGGGCGGAAGTTACAGAGGACAGATGTGACCACCTGGGGCGTCATCCCCAGGGCTTGTTGACTCCCTGGGACGATTCCTTCCTGGGGAGGGGACACAGAGCAGGGCTGGGGACAAAGGTCCTTCGCCTGGCTCCTGGAAGAGCACGGACTGGTTCGCTCATGTTGGCAAACAGTGAGGAAGCGGTGGATTCTCTGCCCGGTGCACTGCACCTGGCAGGGGGGCCAGGGGGCAGGGGTCCAGTCGAGGACCTGGGGGCCTGTGTTTGGGGTGGTCACACACCTTGTCAGGGGCGAAAGAACCACACCAGCCTCCGGGAATGTCCACCAACCTCACCCCCGTCCTGCAGGTGAGAGGAAGAGGGAAGGCGTGTCAGGTGCTCCAGGGGACCAAGGACAAGGGTGGGGTGGTGGCCCCGGGCTGTGCGGGCTCCCCTGCGGGCTGGCCTCTGTCCCGGCAGGGGGCACAGAGGCGGCTGTCTTCCCTTCAGGGCCTGGGACGCCCCCTCTTCCCACAACAACCTGCGTGTTGCAGCACCTCGGGAGCCCCTCACCCTCCTTCCCTCCCGCCCCCAACGCCCCCGTCGTCCCAGGAACCTTCTGAGGTGGCCACACCGCACGGGCAAGGACTCGGGGCCGTACCCCGTGCAGTGTCCGAGGGAGCAGGTGTCCTCCCAGACTGGCCATGCTGTCCTGTGCTCACTGGACGATGCCGAGTCGTCCTTGTATTCCATCTCCTGCGGGGACATCCCTGCATGGACACTGTCTGTCTGTCTGTCTGTCTGTCTGCTATTTCTCTCTCGCCAGCAGGGGAGCCCCACGGCGTTGGGGACTCTGCCATTCTGTGCCACGATCACAGTGGGACACGGGACAGACCCTCAGTGTGGGTGTGTGTGTGCCTGACGACCCGTGTGCCGTGAACACACAGTGTGCGGTGTCATATGTGGAGGGTGCTTCTGAACAGCGAAGGGGTGAGCGAGGAAGGACACGGGACGAACGGAAGGAGGAAACGAGCACCTGAACGTGTGCACCTGGAAGCCAGGCTTTGCGACCGCATTGGCCGTGTGCAGGCGACTGGGTGGCTCGGTGGCTTGGGGCGCTGGCCCTGCACCAAAAGGTTGTGAGTTTGTTCCCCGGTCAGAGCAAGTACAAGAGGCAACCGGTCAATATCTCTCTCTGTCTCTCTCTCAAATCAATACACACATCTTCCGGGGAAGATGAAAAAAACCAATTCTTTGTTTAGGACACCGAGACCTGGATGCTGTAACGAGTGGACCAGAGATGTGTTTAGGGGACATATCTCTGCGCTTGTGCCATAGGTACAAGCCACAGGCCATGGGTGACGCAGGCCACTGGTCAAGAAGACAAGGGAGGGCCTTTCCTAGACACCCCTGCACATGACCAGGGTGGGAGCTACTCTGTCGGGCGGGGCCTGCTGCACCCCAGCTGCTCCGTGGCCTGGTTCTTGATGTCCCTTCTGTCGCTGGCTGGAGGGAAGGCCTGGGTTGCAGCCAGAGCTCTGTCACAGACCCTCCCCACTTTGTTCCTACCCTCAGGCTGTTTGCTGTCAAATGCGGGGGCTGCTTCGAGGTCATCGCCCCGAACGAGTTCGTGATGCGGGCACAGAAGAGCGTGTACCACCTGGGCTGCTTCTGCTGCTGCGTGTGTGAGCGGCGGCTGCAGAAGGGGGACGAGTTCGTCCTGAAGGAGGGCCAGCTGCTCTGCAGGGGGGACTACGAGAAGGAGCGAGAGCTGCTCAGCCTGGTGAGCCCGGCGGCCTCCGACTCGGGTGAGTGCTGCGTGGTGGGTGAGTAGGGGTGCTGGGGGGGCCATGGAGGGGTGACGGTCTTCAGGGCCTTGTCTCCGAAGGGCTAGCCACCAGGGAGGCCTGGCTCCATGGACGGCAGCTCTATGCTTTCCAGAAACTTCCTTTGGGAGGCAGGAGTGATCTCGTATCAGTCAGCATGGCCACGATGTGCTGCGTAACAAATGACCCCCAAAAATCCCATGGCACACAACTGTCGACACTCACACACTCACAGCTTCTGGCCAGAGTGACTCTGCTACAGGCTGATGGTCTCCCGTCACCTGCAAGCTGCTGGGCTCGGCCCCAGGCTGTGGCCCCAGCTCCCATCTGCCCCTCGGGCATCCCTTCGGGGTCCAGGGCGGGCTCTTTCCCAGGGAGTGGCCAGTGCTCAGAAGCCATGCCCAGCCCTACAAGCTCACGCAATCCTCCAGAAGCTCTAAGGGCTGGCCCGAACCCACCTTCCCCTGGAGCATTCCCTCTTCCTCTCACCTCTTCCGCGTCTGCTAAAGCAACGTAAAAGTTTGAACGTAACGCCCGGAACAGGGAAGCCGCCTGCGGGTCCTGCGGATGTGGGTGCGGGGTGCTCTTCCAGGGAGGGGATGTGGTCAGTCTGCGCGTCTGTGATTGCTCAGCCTCACTTCCTCATCTAAACCAAGCTCCGCTTGGCGTGAGAAGGCCAGCTGCCCCCCACCCGGTCTGCCCCTGTGGGCCTCTTGCTGAGCACCCCACTGAGGTCCCCCCCAGAATACTGCAAAGCCTCCGAACACCCCATGGACTCAGAGGCTGCAGCAATGAGCACGGCCGTGGGCAGACACCCGGAGGGACGCTCTCCTTCCTCCCGTGGAGACAGAGGCCGAGGTCCCATCTTCCCTGCCGCACAGGTGTGTGGGGCTCGCTCACTGAGTGGCCCAGTTGTGGGTGGTCATTGGCTGCAAACTCTCCGTGGGGCACCTCCTCCTGGGCCCACAGACAAAAAGAAAAGGCTGGGTCCACGTGGAGTTAAGCAAAGTAGGATTTTCAGACCAAGCGGGCGACCACAGGCCCCCTTCCAGCCCCGGGCACGTCCTTCTGAGGCCGATACCGACAAACCAGAGCTTCCCGGTCCACTCAGGTATTTACTCAGCAGTCCTATTGGAGGGCTCGCTCTGCACCGGGGGCGGAGTCGTGATGTGAATGACAGGAATGGTGTGGGCCGGAGAAGACTCTAAAGGACATCGGGTGACGTGGTTATAGATATTTAGGCTAGAAAAGTAAGGACTAAAGGAGGACCTAGGTGTCACCTTCCCGTGGTGGGTCAGACCTATTTTTCCCCCCAGTTTCAGAAAGCAGGATTAGAATTCGTTTACTCAGTTCTGTGGCCGTCACTGAGGGCTTCCACTGCAGGTAGACAGGTAAAGGAGAGCAGTCGGGCCCCGCACGGGGAGCGCCAGGAAGTCGTCCCGGTGAGCAGACCCAGCAGGCCGGAGCCCACTCGTTGAAACCGCTGCCGGCCAGGTGGGAGGGGAGGACAGTCCTGGACAGCGCCCCGGGTCCCTGCTCACTCTAAATCAACTCTCACTCCGAGCGAGGCGGCGTCAGAGTCTTGCCCAGAGTCCGATGTGCTGTCTGAAGCACCCCTACAGTCCGTGATGCAAACCTTGCCTGTCCCGCACCTTAAAATGCACTGTGGGCTGGAGCCCCCCACGCACCCACGGGCAGGCTGCCAGCAAGCGGGGCTGAGGCTGTTCACACCTTTGTTCCCTTAGCGAAGCTCAGCGTGACGCAGGGAGAGGGGATGTGGTCCGTGAGGACCCAGTGACGCTCCCTGTGTGTGGCCGGAGAGGCCACCTGATCGTGAGGGTCCAGAGAAACAGTTTGGGGGGCTGCCCCAACACAAATACAGTTTCTCCTCTTGTCTATGTCCTGAGCGCCTCACCTGTGGGAGCGGCTTTGGTGAGTGTTTGTGGAGGGGACGATGGGACGTTCACTCTTGGACGTTTCGGTCGGCACCTTGGATGAAGACGCAGGAGGTGGGTGTCTTCGGTTTGTCGATGGCACAGACCTGGCAGGGTGGCTGTGGGGACGCCCGGAGTTCACAGAGAGCTCGACAGCCTGCCAGCGCCAGCAGGAGGGAACCCAGCCGCCGTGTTCCGAAATGCCACGGTTGTTGGCTGGGAGGGGGCCCATAGGGGCGGAATGTCACCTGGGGTTCAGGTGACCTGAAAGCCGATGGGCACCAAAGGGGACAGTGCATTAAGAGAACTACAACATCCCTAACTCGGTACTGAAGCTCCCTTGTTTTGGGGGGTCATTTGGAGGACATTTGGGTATTTGGTTAAATGATGCGTTTTAGGGGGTCACTGACAAGCTAGAGTCTGGAGGAGAGGGAACAGCTTGTTAAATGACAAATAACTCAGTGTGCGCAGCTCTGTAATAAATAAGGTGGAGGGGCCGGTGAGGGTCACCCCCGAGGGTGCAGACCCCTGGACAGGTGAAGGGGCGCACCCGGGCTCGAGGGAGGTTAGAACTGCGTGTGACCAGAGTGCAGACTGGCTGCCTTTGTGGAACGAGAACCCGCTTGCCGTTCATGTTGTGGCTGCAGCTGGCAGAGGACAGACGGGGTCGGGGCCCCTCTGCTGCCACCTCGGATGCTGGAGTCCCTGCTTCCCAGATCACGAGTCACGTTCACGGCCAACGGGACAGCAGACTCAGGAGGTGCCCGGCGGCCGGGTCTCTTTCCTGGTGTAGCCAGAGGCTCCGGTCCCTGCTGTGCCCATGGCCTGGGAGAAGTCACTCAGAGGACGGAACCCTGTAGCCAGAATCAGATCACCATCTTGTCAGGACCCCCAGTGCCCGGGGCCTCCGGGACCAGCCCCCAACACTCACGGCCCCTGTCACCGGCTCGCACTGTGGAGGTTGTCCACGCCTGATGCACACCACTTGGTCTGGCTCTGGGCAGCTCCAGACCTCCCCATCTGAGTGTGGCCTGTCCCAGCTGATCACGGGGCCCCGAGGTCTGTCTCCATGGGCGACCTCAACTTTGGCCTTGGTTCTGCTCTCAGGAACGCACAGAATCTCAGTCAGCCTCCCTGGGGCGTGGCAGCCCTCCGAGTCGGGACAGATGCACGTACAGATGCCGGGACAGAGAAGACAGATGGGTCTTCTCTCTCTGCCCATCCCTCCCTCTGCCCCTCAGCAGGGGCCGCCCGCCCTGCCTGTAAAGTTGCCGCAATCTCTTTAGAATGTACCACCCGGAGGGGACTCAAGCTCTTCTCTGTGTGGCCCGAGCTAGCACACGTGACCACTGCTACTTGTCGTCTGTTGGTGGGGTCTGTGACTGGACCCGTGCATGGGGGGTGTGCACGGGGGGTCGGAGCCTGGGGGCCCCTGTGGCTCCCGCCCGGTCCACCGTGCGTTTCTCAGCGATCGACCCCTCTTACCTGCGCATTTGTTTTTAAACATCAGAGGTTATCTGAGGATGCCTTGGGGAGCGATTTCCAAAAATGTTTTTTATTTCAAAATGAAGTTTTACATGGACAGAGCGATGTTGAAGTTGGAGAGAAGTGCCCCCGTCCCCTCCGTCTGGCCCCCCCGATGTTGTTACCCCCTCCCATTTATACGCACATTCTGATTCGTGTCCTGGGAAAGCTATAAAGCTACCGCCGGCCCAGCACCAGTCAGGGAGTGGCCCCCACAGATGCCTTTGTCCGTTCCAGGACCCGAGGCGGGATCCCAGGTTGCGTCTTTGTTTTATGTTATAATCCTGTTAAACTGTCTCTTCCCTCCTTCAGTTCTGAAATCATTAGGCGTGCCTGGACAGAAGTTTATTTTTGCCCCTCCCTCGGACAATGCCTTTTAGGTTTCATTTCCTTTTCCCTCTTCCTACCATGGGATCACCCTGTTTTTGCTGGTTGGTTTAGGGGTTTACCTGCCTTTGGGAGGCTTTCTGAGGAAGAGAAGGGGTGTTAGATTGCCTCGGGAATTTATTCCTCGTCTGTTACCACCCCCCAGGCTCCAGCCATTTCACCCTCCTGGCGCGCCAGCTGCGGTCAGACCCACGGCCGAGAGTAGCTGGCCCAGCACCCCGTCCTTTGTCTGCCGGGAGTCCGGGTGTCCACGCGGGAAGGCGGGCTGTTCCAGAAGCTCCTCTGCTGTGACAGGAACTCTCCAGAGGAAGCCGGGTGGCGAGGTCCCCACCGTGAGGGTGGCTTTCTGCAGTGGAGACTTTCCAGGCCTCTGTTCCCTGGGGAGGTCGTCTGGGTGCCGGGGGTCACTCTGTCCTCAGGGTCTGCGTGCGCCTGGCGCTAGTGCAGGTCCTGGCTCACAGTAGGTGCTCAGTCACACGTGCTGTTTGTCCTTTAGCCTCCGAGCTCCTGGCACTGGGGCCCAGCGCGCAGCGTGAGTCTCTGCCTGTGGCTGGAATGAAGGTCCCCCCAGCCCCAGAGGTGGTCAGCCCTCTGCCCACCTGACTTGCTTTAGGGCACGTAAGATGGCAGCTTCAGAAGGCCCGGTGGCTCTCCCGTCACTGTCATTGTGAAGGACCCCTTCCTCCCCCGCCTGCGAGTCAGCTTCCTAGACCCTGGTTTTCATTTCCTTCCACAGCCTTGGGCTGAGTTTTTTTATTCATTACAGAAGTATTTCCTTGACCCTCTCGGAACTCTTCTCGTTCTCCAATAAATCAGAATGGAGAGCGGCTGCCGTGGCCTCTCGCGTCCTGGAAAATGCCTGCTGTCCAATGGGATTATCTTGTCAGTTCGCTGTCATGAATTTTTTAAATGCAAGACAGAGAAGGCAAAGTCCGCAGGACGTGTGGAGGAGGGGTCTCGTTCTCGAGTGGCGGTGCCCAGGGCTCGGGGTCTCCAGCTCCTCGGATCGGAGTTGGGGTCTTGCCCTCCAGTCGCAAGCTGTGACCTGGGGAAGCTGACGCCCCTCCCCCAGGACCATGCTTCCCAAGTGGTGGGTAAGAAGTGGGTGACTTGCCTCCCCTGTGGGTTCCGGTGACA